GGGGCTGCCACGGAGAGGCGATCCCGGGGACCGGGAGCTTGGGAAGGGCGGCCGCCACGGCCATGGAGAAGCGGGCCGGTTTTCCGCTGCCCTCCACCCTCCCCGGCTGGGGCTAGGCTTTTCCCCTCTAGCAAGAGCGGAAAGCTCCTCGGGCCGGGAGGAGGCTGGGGCCGGGGGAGGAGGGGAGAGCGCCCTTTGAGGGCGGCACCCTTCGATGCTGGAAGGACAAAGCGTCGGAGCGCTCTGGGTCCGCGACCCGGGCGCAGCGCGCGTGGGGGCATCGCCGGGGCGGGAGCGGCGCGGCGTCCCAGAGCGGTCAGGGCTGGGGGAAGAGGCCGAGTTGTGTGCGCTGGAGAGCGAGGGACTGGTGCGCTTCGGGTCTGAAACTACCTGTAGCTGCAGCTACCTGCCCGCCCCACCTCGGGAAGAACAACAATGCTTCTCGCGCGCGCGCGCGTGTGTGTGTGCGGTACGTGAGTGTGTGCGCAGCTTGTGCGATGTGTGTGCCGCAGCCACTCCACACCCCGATCCGTAGTATTTTGCTGTATCCAGGTTGCGCCTGGGAGCGCGGCACCGCCCGCTTTGCGCCGGGTTCGGCGTGCCTCTTACCCCATGCGCCGCGCACTCCACCCGGCCGCACCCTCCGCACCTGGGCAAGGACCTGGGCGCCGCGGCGGCCCGGAGCCGGCTCGGCTTCACTCATTCCTCCCCTCTCTCCCCCGCTCTCCGCAGAGAATGTAATGGACATCGGTCTGACCAACGAGAAGCCCAACCCGGAACTCTCTTACTCGGGCTCCTTCCAGCCAGCCCCCGGCAACAAGACCGTGACCTACTTGGGAAAGTTCGCCTTCGATTCCCCTTCCAACTGGTGCCAGGATAACATCATTAGCCTCATGAGCGCCGGCATCTTGGGGGTGCCCCCGGCCTCAGGGACGCTCAGCACGCAGACGTCCACCGCCAGCATGGTGCAGCCGCCGCAGGGAGACGTGGAGGCCATGTACCCGGCGCTGCCCCCCTACTCCAACTGCGGAGACCTCTACTCGGAGCCGGTGTCTTTCCACGACCCCCAGGGCAACCCCGGGCTCGCCTATTCCCCCCAGGATTACCAATCGGCCAAGCCGGCCTTGGACAGCAATCTCTTCCCCATGATTCCTGACTACAACCTGTACCACCACCCCAACGACATGGGCTCCATTCCGGAGCACAAGCCCTTCCAGGGCATGGACCCCATCCGGGTCAACCCGCCCCCCATTACCCCTCTGGAGACCATCAAGGCGTTCAAAGACAAGCAGATCCACCCGGGCTTTGGCAGCTTGCCCCAGCCGCCGCTCACGCTCAAGCCCATCCGGCCCCGCAAGTACCCCAACCGGCCCAGCAAGACCCCGCTCCACGAACGGCCCCACGCGTGCCCGGCCGAGGGCTGCGACCGCCGCTTCAGCCGCTCGGACGAGCTGACCCGGCACCTGCGCATCCACACGGGCCACAAGCCCTTCCAGTGTCGGATCTGCATGCGGAGCTTCAGCCGCAGCGACCACCTCACCACTCACATCCGCACGCATACGGGCGAGAAGCCCTTTGCCTGCGAGTTCTGCGGGCGCAAGTTTGCGCGCAGCGACGAGCGTAAGCGCCACGCCAAGATCCACCTCAAGCAAAAGGAGAAGAAGGCGGAGAAGGGGGGTGCGCCCTCTGCATCCTCGGCGCCCCCGGTGTCCCTGGCCCCCGTGGTCACCACCTGCGCCTGAGGCTCGGGCCCCCAGACCCCCGTTTTTCCCCTCCAGTGCCTCCCGGCTGCTCGCCTGAAAGCAGCGGGAAAGCCAGCCACGGAGGCGCAGGGGCCGCGCCCTGGCCGCTCCATGGACGTGCGGCCCCTTGCTCTCCTTCGACGCCCCCGGTTCCCAACCTTTCACAGCGGTCAGGGGCCAGGGCCGGAGGCGCCTTCCTCTCGTCGCCCCCACCCCCCGCCCCCCTTAGCCAAGGCGTGGGGGCGGAAAGGTGGCGTCTAGCCCGCTTTGTTCAGTTCGGATCGCCTTGATCCAGGGGCCGCTGGGCCGCGCCAAGGACCGGCGGGGGACTGAAGGCGGAGCCCACCAACCCTCGCCCGACCCGAACACCTCACTGTTTCCCCCCGTCTCCCTCCGTTTCCCCTCGAAGACTCGAGAGGGGGAGGGCTAAGGAGCGCACCAAAGCGCAGAGCATGCTGC